GGGGGGGGGGGGGGGGGGGGGGGAGGAGGGAGAATGGCATCAAAAGGATGATGGTTATAACAACTGGTCAACAATCAACAATGCTCAAGCCACCACTACCTCTGAACGTCATTTTGCCGAGCTCAAAAAGAACTGCGCACCAAGCTTTGCCGACGTGCCAGCGGACATTTTTAGGAGAACAATTTTCTTTGGCCAGCGGAGTAAGGAATGGGACGAGAGAGAACAATCTTCTTTGGCCAGAGCAGTACGTGTTCTCTGGCCAGAGGAGTAAGTGATGGGACGAGAAATGGAAGCGGTTCAAGGAAGGCGGGAGACGAAGCGAGGCACGGTCCGCAAAGACCAGAAAGTGAGAGAGCTTCGTCCATATTCATTCATTCACATCTGCTGGTACCGGTTTCTTGGTCACTGTAGCTGTATTTGGTCCAACTTGCAGTCTAGATACAGCGACAATTACCAAGCTGTTGTGAAGCAAGACATGCTGTTCCTGTCATATGCCATGCTAGAAAACCCCGCTGCATACGCCCAAAAAAAAAGAAATTCAGATCTATCTATTCTACCAGCTGCCACTGTCAATCAAATAGAATGCAAGCTCAGTATTATTACTGTATCAAGACTGAAAAATGGGCCAAATACAGCTATAATGCCCAGGCATGACTGTGCTCGGGTGAAGATGGTTGTGTGAAGCGTATCAGCACCAGAAACCGCAAATATCGAGAACCAACAAATTCCCCTCACCCCTCCGCCCAAAATTGGATCATAGAATGAATGCACTGCAAATAATTCCTGAAATTCCAGCCAGGTACATGTCATAAAACAGTTGAGCATTGCAATATAAATAGGGCAACAAAAAAAAGGGGTCTACCGCCTACCACTTATTTACCAACCATGGCTCAAATCCACCACTCAACCAACTGGCCTAGTAGCTCAGTTGCTACACCCAATGAACTGTCAAAATACAGGCTCGAGTTCGAATCCAGATGCAATCAGATGAACAGAATAAAATAATTCTGAACTACCAACCTGGGGCCAGTCAGCTCGAAAATGGTATCTCAAGGCCATCGCCCTTTAAAAGAAAAAAAAGGAGAAGTACAGAAAAAAAACTTTAAAAAGGGAAAAAGAAAAGGGGGAAAATTAAAATAAAATATACCACTCACTGAAACTTCCCAGAACCTACGCGACATACAACTGTTAACCCAAAGACCTGGATGGTGTATTTTTATATTTTTTATTTTATTTAGTTTAATCATTTTTTTTCCAAACGCTAAATGGCAGATCTCAAATGCTGTGTGCCATTTTCCTCTTTTCATCCCCCTGCTAGGATTTTAAAATCTTACATAGAACATATTTCAATCCAGTAATAAAGTAAGACATTGTTGTCAGGAAAAAAAAAAAAAAAAAAAAGATCGGTGTCAGTAAAAAAAAAAAAAAGAGATTGGTGTCATAGCTCTGGTGATTGGCAGACTTGCAATTCCAAATCTGCCACTGACTAAACTCGATATAATATATTATATTTTTTTAATTTTCTTTCCCGAACTCTAAATAGAAGATCTCATCTGCTGATTGGTTGAAGTACCTGTCCCCTCTTTATCCTCCCACCTAGGATTTCAATTTTTTTAAAAGATTCAATAAACAAACAAATAATTTGAAATAAATGAAGAAAATAAATCCATCCATCGGATTCCATCCAATGATGACGTCAGAGATTGGTTGAAGCTCTGATGATTGGCAGACTTATAATTCAAAATCTGCCGCTGACTGAAACTTCGCATCAACCTCACTTTTTTTTTTTCAACCACAGGCTACGACCGGGTGCGGTCACATGATCTGTATTGGGTGCAACTTTTCGTCTAGATACAGGTTCTGCCACTGATGTTCTATTTGCCTGCGTACCGTATTCACACGAATAGGACAAGCACGGTCAAGATATCTGAAGTTGGTGCAACTTTCCGTCTAGAATCAGTGTTGTTCTGTTCCCGTGGTCGTGATTACCGTCTTCACACAAATAGATACAGCGAGAATGACTGGGTGTTGTTCTGTTCCCGTGGTCGTGATTACCGTCTTCACACAAATAGAACGAGCACGGTCACAATATCTGTATTTAGAGCAACTTTCCGCCTAGATACAGTGATAATGACCGGGCGCTGTCCTGTTCGGGTGAAGATGGAAGTGTATGTCAGAAGAATCAAAATGATAGATCTCATCTGCTTTTCCTTTTTCCTCTTTCATTCCCCCTCCAGGATTTCTCCCCCCCCAAATTGAACCTCTTTCCATTCAGAATGGTTGAGTACCAAAAAAAAAAGAAAAAAAAAAGAATGGTCAGTAGACTCAGTACAAAAGTTGGTGGAAAGTTCTCCGACCTCCGGTGATTGGAAGTCCAACCGTTGTTGACATTAGGCACACTGCCCGCCCGCCCGCACCCTCTTTCCCCACCCCCCGTATTGAAAATCCCACCTATTGGGAGGGAGCAGCACCTGTTGGAAATCGGATCCAGAAGGAAAAAAAAAAAGGGGGCACGCTGCCCCCATCAGCTTTTCACGACAAATCCTTACACCACCACTACCAATTTTTTTTTGACAAACCAAGAATTATTTTTTGACAAACCAAAAATCGCATTTCCCCACGCCTATAATCTACAGTGCTGTCGTGAGGAAAAATAATTTCCGTACCCTTCCCACCCGAACCTCTACTGGTAATTGATACTGTAATTGATATTGATAACCAATTGACTCACAATAAATAAATACAGCACGTTCATTCTCTGTGTAGCACACCAAACCTGTTTGGGGCTTTCATGAACGCCCAAACACGTTTGTGTTCGGCCTAATGCCTCCCGAACGTGTTAGATAGGTCGAACAGTTTTTTTTTTTTGGTTTTTCTTTTTTGCATTTGTTTTTAGATTTCTAATTTTTAACTCGCGTTTGGCTAAGAACTGGAACATGCCTCCCAGGCAAAAGTTGTTTGTATTATTATGTTCGCGATTGGAGGGTTTGGGCACTCTGGACAATGCAGAGGCCGTTGGAGAGATGGTTAGGAAAGAATGGATCACTGTGGACCCACTTACCAGATTTGGGAATTTGCCGATCAGTAGATGGACGCCAATATCTTTATCTATATTGTAATAATATTGAAACGAAATGGAATATATTCATGATAATTGAATGATAACATGTCACATAATATCACTGTAATTCAGAAATTATAAGTAATCAAATATGTATTTATAAATTGTAAATAATAAATATTGTTAAGTCCAGTGCTTGGTTGACAGTCTAACGCTCGGTAGCATTAGGTAATCTGGCCCCTGCACCTCTGCGACAAAATCTTCCTCAATTCAAAGTATGGACCCACTTACCAGATCAGGAAATCTGTCATTCACTACCGTCTTCATCCGAATAGACTGCCGGTTCATTATATCCGTATTCGGTGCAACTTTCAGTCTACATACAGCGATAATGACTGGGCATTTCTATTCCGCCGAAGACGGTAGTTGATAAACGCCAGATCTGATTTATCCTTTTTCCTTTTCCCATTTAGGATTTTACGTTTTTTCAACTTTTTTGTTTTCCCTTTCGCCTTTTCAATGGCAGGTCTGCCACCTCTGCCACTTCTCTCAAATAAAAAGCCCAGATTTTTTTTTTTCTATTAATATTTTTCAGCTGAGCAGACCAATTTTCTCTCTCATAAAAGACAACAAGCGTGGCTTGCCTTACACCACTTCATCCTCCAAGTCTTTTTTTTTTTTTTTTCCAAATGCAGACATCAACTGCGCSCCCAAAAAAAAAAAAAAAAGCCACCAGCTCGTTTTCTTTTCCTTCTTGGCCAGTGTTGCCAGTCATTCTGGTCCTGTAGCACTGTGCCTCCAAAGAAAAAAAAAAAAAAAAAAAAAAAAAAGGCACTCAAAGTCAACTCCGTCCCTGAGCTTTAATCACCACCACCCAACGTTTGTTCCCGGACCCCGAGCCCGACCCCGACCCCGGCCCGGAGTCCAAACCACACTTGACTGGGGACCTTTTCCAATTTGCACCCGGGCCAACCCCCCCCCTCTGTGCTTGGACCTGTTTTGAGGTGTTTTTCGAGCCTGGCTGTCTGGGAGTTTTCTTGGCCGCCCAACGGGAGTGATCAGGTTTAGGTATATCGTGTGTGGCAGATACTGAGCCCACCACAAAAGTAGGTGGTCCTCCATGGACCCTAATGGAGCTCCTACAAAGGACCAGATCCACAGATCGAACCCCAGCTCATATTTCCTTTGCGATAGATACATGCCTTAAGTGGCAAGTGGGGACAAACGTTAGGTTGCTGTATCCTCAGGACTGTAGCATGTAGCGTACAGTATGCTACAACATGCTGCAGCATGTAGCGTTACAGATCCACAGATCGAACCCCAGCTCATATTTCCTTCGGGAGAGAGATCCTCCATGGACATATTGCAGGTGCAATGCATGAGCTCGCAGCTGCACTTCTTCACCATTCATTCCACCATAGCCATTCCACCATAGCTACACATTCCGGAATTGTTGTTGACAGCAACTGTTGTGTGTGGATTGCATCCCACGTAGTCCTCATTACAGTGCCCCAGCTCATATTTCCTTTGGGAGAGAGATCCTCCATGGACACATTGCAGGTGCAATGGATGAGCTTGCAGCTGCACTTCTTCACCATTCATTCCACCATAGCCGTTCCAAAATAGCTACAGATTCCGGAATTGTTGACAGCAACTGTTGTGTGTGTGGATTGCATTCCACGCAGTCCTCATTACAGTAGGGAAGAGGACAATGGTAGGTGATCAGGGTGTATTCACAGTACGCTTTTTGTTAACTGACCTGGACGCAATTGCAGCCAGAGACATCCAAGATAGGCCGTACTTACGATCAGATACATCCACGAAAGTCACAGCGCCTCTATGCTCTCAGACTGACCAGGAGGCAGTCTTCATCCCCCTTTCCCTCGTTATCTCCTACGGGTTCCACACAAATAGAACACCCAGTCATTATAGATTCTGTATTTGAGGCAATATCCAGTCTAGATAAAGGAGCTCTATTTGAGACTACTTTCAGTCTAGTTACAGCAATAATGACCAGGCATTCTTTCTGGTGATGACGACAGTAGAACATTCCCCAGGATTCAAACCTACGTAGAAAAAATACAACTCTCTTTGAATGCTTGCTATCTTGTTGGACTGCCTATTGAAAAGATAACCAATATCCTCCTTCTAGTCTCTAGAGTCTATAGAGTCGGTAGACACATTTTCCACAATCCGATACTTCGCTGTCGACAAAACAAATCCTCCCTTTCCACTACCCATTCCCCCACCTTCCTACGGTCCCGGCGTAGCCGCTGAACCCTTTTTTCCCCCTTGGCCGCTGAACCCTTTTTTCCCCCGTGATTAGCACGTGCAGTCGCTAGGTCTTGGCGACCTGGTGGAAGCGTAACCAATATATACTCCCTATAGCCTCTTGCGAGGCTCAAGGCCTCAACGAGCCCTTACGGGCCCTGTTTTCAGCAAGGTCAGCCGCCCTAAGTGAAGGCAGGCCCGACCAAGGATGAGAGGCCTATTTTGGACTACCACGCAACTGGGGGAATTCAGGCAGTTGCGCAGCGCCAGTTGGTTGAGAGCTCCCAGGCCCAGGCTGCCTTCATCAAATGTATCTGAGGCAGGCCCTGGGGGAGATACGCGACATGGACCCAACACAGGCTGTGGGCAGTTGGGCACGGGTAACCGCCATAGCCCCTGGGCCTGATTCGTTTGGTCTGGGGCTCAGCCTCTCGGGGCCTACCGGAAGCTTCTGGGCGAGGCCCCAGTGCAGCCAGGCTGCACGCAGCAGGCAGGCCACTTCCATTCAGGAATGTGCCTGCTCTCGCATTCGGTATTCAGGAAACGCTGGCCAGCGCTCACGCGCTCACGGGCAAGCAGGGAGAGCAGGCAGCCATAGCCGCGCTGCGCTGGATGGGGCCCATGGTGGTCCTTGGGTGCACATCTGCATCTGTGAGTGGGGGATCGAGGTTGTGAGTGATACGAGAGACATACCTGGTGCTTGAGGCGAACGGCATTAACCGAGATCTACTCGTACTTCGGGGAGCTGTTGACGTCACCAGCCGCATTGTAGATAGGCTAGATAGGATCTGCCACTTGTAGTCTGGGCGCAGAGCGCCAGATAGGATGCCGACATTGGTTCATTGTTGATGAAGATGAGACCATTCCAACATTGTCACTTGTGTGAACTTTTGCTGTGCTCTTATTTGGTGGAACTCGTGTTGCAATTCTGCTTTTGGTTCGAGGTCACGACTATCTGGTTTCATGCATATGATGCTGCTTGGGTTCTGAAGTTCGCTATCGCTCATTTTCCTTGCACTATGGACACATTTTTCCACACTAGGATACAACCTGGTGGAACAGTAGCCAATATCCTCGCTATAGTCTATGGACACATTTTCCACAATCGGATGCTTTGCTGCTGACAAAAACTTCCTCCCACCAAACCCACCTCCCCTACCCCGTGATTGCTTCCCTTTGCACGTTCAGCCACTGGGTCTTGGCAACCTGGTGGAAGAGTAACCAATATATACTCCGTATAGTCTCTAGAGTCTATAGACACATTTTCCACAATAGGATACAAGTGGAACAGTAACCAATATATCCTTGCTATAGTCTCTAGAGCAGTGTTGCACACCCCGACGGTCGGCGGCCCTTGACTGGTTGGCACCTAGCAGTCGGGGATCATCGGCACCCCGCACTTTTTTTTTTGTTTGTTTTTGGGATCCAGAACCCCTAATAACCCCATCCACACCCCAATAGCGGCCCCCAATACCCGCATACACCAACCTAACACTCGCGAACCGCCCCCAACATCCTTATTAACGCCCCCAATATTCCCTATATCACCCCTATACTCCGCCTATACTCCAACCCATACCTGGGTCATATCGCATGCACGCGAGCTCCGCACGCGCGGCGCATAACGCACGTGTAAGCATGCACGCGCACGTGATGCGACGCACCCCACTAAATAGGGTATAAAAAAAAATTTGGAGAAGGCTGGCTGAGGTAGCCAATGGTGCACCTCCCCACAGAAAAAAAAATAGGGCCCACGTATTCCTTTTTGAATAGTCTTTTTCGCGGAGGACCCCAGCAGTACATATGCAAGGGTCCCAACATCTCAAGAGATGTTCAGCAAATTTCGTATGAAAGAAGAGC